GGCAGGTGGAGCTGGGAAGGGGAATGTGCTTCAATAAATACGGCGCGTGACATATGCTCCGGCAGGCCTGAGTACAGTTGCTTAATACGGTTGAAAACGCTTATCTGATGCTGCTGCGTTTGCAAGGTGGTGACATTGAGTCGAGCTTGACTGAGCCGAAAGTTGCCCTGATCATCTAACTTAGTGGATTTTGTTTTCAAGTTTGGTAAATCTATAGTAATCTGGTTTTAAGGTTCTGTTTCATAATTTGGGAAACCTAACCTTTAAAGAAAATGGCATTTGAAGTAAATTTTCTGTTAATGGCAGAGTTTATTACTGTGTAATTCTGAGGTTTCAACTAGGGCAGTTGGAGTGTAATATAATGCTATGTTGTCTTGTTTTATGTTGCTGTCTGTGTCATATGACTCTTTCATATGTCTTGACCAATTTGTCTTCAAACCGATTGAATTCCTTGTTCCCAATCCTGCTAGAACAATTGTCGTATCTTCACTCTGATGATGACAACTTCTTTTCAATTTCTTGAGTAATTATATATAGACATGTTTGCTCAGCTCTTCTCCCTTTATCACTCTTCCAGTGTCTTTATAGAGTATCTTCATGTCCTGGTTAATATCCAGGAATCTGTGAAGTTTAAATTACACCCTCATCTCATTACCTCCAGGATTGCTCCTCTGCAAATGCCTTTTTATGCCACAATGTCAGGGGACACAGGGCAGTGTTGATAGGAAAAATATTTGTCTTCTGCTTCTCAGGAGCAAGAGTTTTCTCTTTAATGCCTGTTTCCCATCCAGACTTCTCTTGGATCCAGTGTCCCAGGAACTTCACAGGAGATACAGAAAGAATGAGTGCAACAGGGATAGGTTTTCTTCTGGCAGGAAGACAGATCTTGAGAGTCCTTGAGAACCACCAGTGGTTTCCAGGAAGCTGGGTTACACTTGAACCGTCTCTATCACAGCAGTTTGTTTGTCAAGATTCATGTAAATTTTCTTTGGACTGCTTTGTGTAGCTTGGCACACTGCAGCTCTGTTTGGAGCCTCGTGTCTGAATGTAGTTAAAACTAAAACGTCAGATTTCTTCAGAATTATTGTTGCTGACGTCTACAATGTGGAATATGGCTCAAGTTTGCTCACAGCTTGTTACAAGTTTGCATAACAGCAAACACTTTGCCAGGAGGTCATAACTATCAATAAAGTTGAGCTGAGGTTCAGGTCAACAACACTATTAAATGCATTTAATAAAACTTAAGAGCGGGAGAAGTTTCTGTTCCATTTTTATCAGAGAGATATTGCCAAGTACATAACTCCTAATGAATCTTAAATTCAGTAGGTAAGATCTACATCTCCCTAAGCTGACCTTACTTGCTTTTGAAAATAGACATTCAAAAACTATCTTGGGCGTGTATGTTAGCTGTCACTTTTTTTTGGTAATTACATTACTCTGTTTTGTTGCTTTTTAGCTGCAACAATGGTGGAAGCTGGAAGAGACAAGAAAAACCCAGATGAATTTGCTGTGGCATTGGATGAAACTCTTGGAGACTTTGCATTTCCAGATGAGTTTGTGTTTGATGTATGGGGAGCAATAGGTGATGCTAAGCTAGGACGACTGTAATGAGAGCTGTGAGGTTTATAATCTCCATTTGAAAGTACAAAATTATGTTCAAACACATATATCAGAATTTTAATACTTTCATTGATAAGAATCCAGGATGCTCTGTGCAAGTATTCTTATCTGAATCTTTTGCAAAAGGATGTTTCTAGTAGAATGAGGAAGATAAACCCAAAGTTCTCACAAATGCACATTTAAAACAAACCTTTAATTTATATGTGGAAATCACTGTGAGGAGTGCATCAAGGAGAACTATTTATAGACATTTTTATGAAAAGTAGGTGTTTTTTATTGTACATACACTTTGAGATCGATATTCTGAAGACTGTTAGACAAGCAAAAAAGGGTTTGGGTTATTTTATCTCTTCTTTCAAAAGGTTTATAAACTTGTTGAAAAACTACCTAGCTACATGCTGCAGTTCCCTGTTCTTCTGTTGTCCTTTATGTATTCCCATACACAAATTGCTGTAGAAAACCTAAAAATCTTAGGTTTTCTTACAGGTTGGCCTTTTTTGTAGACAGAGCTGGGAAGAAGCTACCCTATTTCTGAGGAACCTCAGTTCAGGAAAAAAAAAAGTAATTCCTCTGAAACATTCTTCTGAATTAAGATCTTTGCATGAAAAGACTTGTTTTCATTTGTGTCATAACACTCAGTGTCTAGGTATTACTGGGATGACTAAGAACAGTAGAAATGCTTAACCCAGGAAGCTGCTGCTGTGTTATTCAGATGCCATATTGTTGCAAAAGGAACTTCATAGGAAGAAACAAATCTTTATTTTGATTGCTATCTGAATAATATCTGTGATCTGGCACTGGAGACCATAGTGTATGACTACATGCCTAATTGATCTTTGCAAATGCTAAATGATTTGCTGAGATCCTATGGGCATTCCTATGTCTGTTTTTTTTCAACATGACAACACAGGACAGACATTGAAGTTGTTTAGACCTGGAAGATATTATTGTAAAGTCACAAGCAATCACAGTTTGGATGGAAATGCCTGTCTAAACCCTGAAAAATACAATACACTAATTTTAGATGTTATTATTTCATGATATTCATTATTATATTGTACATAAAAAATATTTTTAACTGATTATATTATATTAATAAATCTCAGATTATTAAAGGTGAACTGTCTATTTTAACACATCTGCTATCCCTGCATTTATCCTGTTCACTCTGTATTTAATGAAGAGCCATGCAAGAAGTTTTGGTTTTACCCTTAACAAGACTATTTTCAGTTTTTGCTCTTCTTAGTTTTAATTAAGACAGATATTTTCTCATTTGGTTAGAAAAAGCTACTTTCAAGTGATTTTTTTATAGCCTAATAACCTGTTATGAGTATCCTTGAAAGTGAAATTGAACAACAATGTGGGGCCTCACCTGGGTAGGTGTCATAGCTTTTTAGTATTTTTGTATTTGCATGAGCGTATAAAATAATAGGTTTTACAATTTATTTTTTTTTCTAAATAAATGCTGAGTTACTTTTCTTCTGAGGAGAATGTCATTCACTGTCTTGCAGAGATCTCTTTGAAATAAAGACTATGCCAATAATTCTACATGTTCTATGTCAATGATTTTTTTGATCTAAAACCATGACACTTAGAAGTCCTCCGCTGGTCCTCATTCTCTTTACTGAACTCCAGTCTTCTGCAATGTTATAATATGTGAATATTTTTTCAAATGATGGAATATTGAATTAAGTTTATAAATATACAGTATAAATACTGGTCAGTGGTCTTTCAATGGGGATAATTTTATAATTGCTGTTGTGAATATCTTGCTCTTGTGAGTATCTTGCTTTTCTAAAGAAAAGATTTCACATAAAAAAGATTTATTTATTTTTACTGGAAAGAGTAGTACAGGGCAGTAGGGAGGTCATCTGTTTTATTGTATCTGAGAAGTTTAAAGGTGTCAAAATTTCTTTTCATTATACTAGTGCCTCATCTTACCAGTGTGGGATGAAATGTAAATGTATCTTCAAATAGGTTTGCTAATTATCAATTTCTATATGTAGAAATGCATATAGATGATTGATTAAAAAAAAGGCTTTTTTTCAAGTTATGAGGAGTAAAAACATAATTTTACAAGAAAATTTGAGTTTTAGTAAAACTTGAAAATGAAATTGAAGAAACTTTGTAAGAAGGTGGTTGAATTTTATACATCCCTTTTATCGACTGAAGCTGCGAGGATTTTTTATTCTGAGAAAGGAGTATAATTTTAGGATGGAGAGCACAAGGTGGGTAGTATTTAATAATTGCAAGTCTGAACTCACAATCTTCCGTTGCAATTGAAGGTACTCTGTCTTGCACAGGGCTACTTTAACTAATGTACTCTTGGTAATGAAGAGTTAAAGTATCATAGGCCATATAATTGATTGTTTTAGGTGAAAAGGAAAAATGAAATGTCAAGAATTCCCTGTTGGTTTCAAATTGTTTTAAATAAAACTTAGCTGTCAGAATTTGTGAAAATGTTTATATACACTACTGTTAGTAATCAACGTGCTACTGATTATAAAATCAATTCAAGTTAAGAGTTCCTTCTTAACTGGTAAAAAAGTACTACAGAGGAGCTGTACTATAAAACAATACATTAAATGGTACCTGTGGCAGATAATCTCTCATGTGTTTTAGCTTTTTGTTTTATTTTGAGAAATTAATGTTTTTCGATCAATTTATCCTCGGAGGATAATTTGTCCCATCACACTGATAAAGTAGTGAGATGAAAATAATCTCTGAGGCTGTAATTCTGCACAGAGGTGTCTCTTGTCATAGGGGCCTATCTTTGCAGAGTTTATATCAGAACTAAGATTTGAATAGTAGTTGTATTTTTACTATCTTTTATTTCAATAAACTATGTTGCTCTATGTTCATTTTTCCAAGTTCTCATTTAAGCATACCCTACTTCTAGCACATAGGACGTAAGGTACCACCACCCAGTTTAGTAGATTACTTGCATTTTCCAGCTATGTATGGATAAGTTGTCACATGAAAATCACTCTTATCTTAGAAACCATCATAAATACTTCTTGCTCTTTGTAATTATTTGTGTAGTAAATTAATGTTGTCTTACTAATGAAATACTGCCTGCAGATCCTTTAAAACCTAGTCAATAAAGTCATTAAATGTCACTACAAAAATCACCCAGATTCATCTGAAGTACTAGTTCTAGTTAGTATAGGTATTGATCAGAGTAGGACTATAAACATCTTGTTAATAGTGTGCGTTGCAGGTGGAGGTGGATGTGGGAGATTATTCAAAAAACCTGAGGTGTAATGAGACAAGGTAGTAACTCAGCCTGAATGATATTCCAAATGTAACTGATCCCTTATAATTTGGTGCACAATTTGCAGGGAGCTGTCAAATATATGCAATTGTTTGTGCCTTTCCTTCCAGACTTGGTGCTATATTCAAGATGATGGAAAACACACCACTGTAACCAATAGACTTTAGATGCAACAAAGGGATTTAATGACATCTGGTTTTCATAAAATTCTGACCTCATAATCTCGAAAATATGGTGAGAGATGAGTATTTCACACTTTTAAAGGAACTAATTTTGCAAATTACAGATGTATCTTTTGCAACACTGTTAGTATGTCAGGTGTTGCTTCAGTTAGCTTTGATTTTATACAACCCTGCTCATAGTACAGTTGGTATTCAAATAGCTATTAATATAATCAGTGTATTTGGGAAAATCTTGTCTGCTATTCAGATTTGCACCTTTATTTGAATAATGCATATATTCTTACTGTATATGGTTTTTCTTCACAATTTTTTTTTTAGAGAAATTTAATACAAAGCTTTGAAAATCTTGTTCTTTGCATTTGAGAGTGAAATATTAATGTTAAGCTTATTTATAATATTTTTTTAAGAAAAAGCTATCAGACAAGATGTAAAGCAGGGTATAAAGTTTTTTAAGTGTTGTCTGTGATGACAAAAAAAGCAAGTGGTACATCTTTTTTTTCCCTACTTTTTAATAATAACTTCAGCTACTTTTCAAATTGCATATTGTTTTTCATGGAAACATCTCTGATAATTTCTATTCCAAAGTCTGAATATTGCAGTAAAATGATATATTGCTCTTACTTTTCTTTCTTTTGTGTCACAACAATTAGAAGCCTGGGTGTTGACTGTTTGCCCTTTTGAAATCAAATGTGTGCTTGCCATGAACTTCAGAACTCAGCTCTAGCAATGAGAGCTTAATCTGAAATTTATATTCGGTATTGTTTTCTTTTGCAGTTCTCTGGCTCCCTGTGTTTGTAAAGCATTTTGCCTTTGCATGTTATATTTTGAAAGATCTGTGAAAATATGAAAATGTGAACAAATTTACAGGCTTGGAAGTCTGAGATAGGGAAAATCTTCAGCATTTCTTGAAGATACCTGTAAACAGTAACAGTCATTAAAAAATATGCAGCCTCCATTATAGGCTTTGTACTCAGAAAAGATATATTCAATGTGTGGGATTCAAGGAATGACAACTAAAAAAAAGAGACAGCAAAAATGTAAAGGAAATGCATGCCTTTGAAAAAGAATTAAAGCCATGCACTGGCTTTAAGTAGAAAAATACAACATCTGTAGCTTGAACAGAAGCAACATCCTTATGTATTTAGGCTGCCTTATCTCTCAGCTCCATGTTGCTTGTAAGCAGAGAGGTTGTGAACAGCTTTTTCAGTTCTAAGTAATTGCACTCCTTACCTACATCTCTATTGCTATGGCAGAGCTCTTACAAAAAAAAAAAAAGTAGCTGTTGGATTTGTAGCTGAATCATTAGTCTGTTCCCAGTTCCCTGAGAAGTAATGCAGATTCTCAAGTTGTCACAAACTTAATTTTACTATGTAGTATTTGAAAGAGGAAAAAAATAGGGAGGAATAGCTGTCTGCTTTTCTTTGAAATGTAAGGGCATCTTGCTTCCACCTTTTAGAATCATTACTGCAGCACTTCTGCTGCAGTGACCTGTGTGTAGGATGCTGAAGAGTAACAGGGATGATAATATCTGGTCAAATTTTGTGTGTCAATCATGCCAAAACAATCACCACCTAGTAAGAATGCTTTGTAAATTCATTAGGAAATTGTCACTGTGGAAAAAAAGA